TGGTTGCGTCTTGCAGCAATGACAATATTTCCTCCTTAAGCCAGGAACACACTTACCCGACGCCTTGCCACGTTTTGGTGGGGTGTGCACATTTATCCGACGCAAGCACACGTCGCGTACAGTCCACAGCGTTTATCACAATAATCACTATCACAATCGCAACGCATCTTTTATTCTTAATGCACTATTTTGAGCAAAACCTTGTAATAAATTGTTAGTTAAATTTTATGAGCACAACCATCTAATAAATTGTNATCCACTACCAGGCCTCCTATCGGCACTTTCAGTCAGTCTTTCGGAATCGGGCTAAAGCCCGGAAAACCACGCTCTGAGAGACGACAACTGCATCTGCGATATCCACTTGCCGGTGACCTCGATGACTCATTCTCACAATAATATTGCGGACTTCTGGTTCAAGATGTGTCTTTCCATGGTGAGAATGGAGAAAAGATGAGAAAAGGTTGTTTACAAAATAAGTAATTTTCATGTTTATTATTCTTAAGTAAATCAGTTGTTAAAAATGAGGATTAACAACTTTTTTGTTTTTGATTTGTATTTTTTATTTTGTTTTATCCAATTAATATGAATCTAATTTAATTAAAATTAATGAAGTAAGAATCAATAACAAATATCCCTATTCATTTTTGCGCAGTTTATTATAAGAAATGGTTGTGTTTAAAGTTATTCTTCTTATTATGTTTACCTACCGACCTCATGGGGAAGAGAATATGAAATGGAAACGTGCGTTTAATAAGCATTTTTTATAAAATTTCTTTAAATTATTTAATGTTTGCAAAAAATCCTAGATCCGTCAATTCTGTAGATGTTCCAAAGTTGCGGTACTCATTCTTTTCTGAAAAAATCTAGTTTCAGAAAAAAGTTTCGCTCGTGACACTAATTTTTCATCTCACTCACACTTTACATAAAATATATAAATCAATTTAAATAATATCTTTTATTAATTAGGATCAACTAAAAACTTATAGATTAAAAAAACACTTTGAATCTTTCGTATATCCTTGGCAATATCGATATTCGACACAAAAATTAACTATTTTGTATGAAACTTTAACCTATTCAGTTGTAGATGTTGTGATGATTTATTTGAAACAATAGTACAAAAAAAGCTGGTCAGCTAATGTGTACAAATTTGATACAAATTTTTATTATAAGAGTGATAAGTAAAAATAAAATGTTCATGCAAATAAATAACAATTTGCCTTTTTTTAAAAATTTTGAAATAATTAATGTGTTTTATGCATGCGTGATTATAATAATAATTAAAAATTATATTGAAAATTTCCAAAAAAAAACTTAATTTGAAATATCTCAAATACATTTCAACATCAATGTTTCACAAGTTCAATACACATTTTTGATAGAAATAAAATACAAAATCTACTCTTATATAATTATAAGTGAAGAAAAGTGGCTGTCCAAATTTGTGAATTGTATTTTGTGCCCAAAATACTCTACTTGAACTAAATTTCTGCATTGTCCTTAACTACAAATTATGCAGAGTTCTATTGTTTCCACAATTAAAGCGACATCCATAAATATATCAAGCGAGTAAATAAGGGGGATTTTCACTTTTGTGAGTTTATACCATATTTATTTCTTCAAACGGGTTTAAAATTTTAATTAATTATGAAATTAACTTAAACTTAAATACATATTAATACATAATATCAGTACAGTGTACGATTCTAGTACGTGTGGTTGTAGTTATCGGTTTGTTTGTACGACAGTAGTGGAGGTCAGTAGGAGTCGTAACATTAGTAAAACGTTAATAAAAGTTAATAAAAAAGGTGCCCCTACTCGACTTGTACTATTAACTAATTTTTAAAGCTGTCTAATTATTACCGAGGTGCTCAGATATACGCATCGCACTATGGGTACCAAGCCAACCATGATTCGGACGAATGATTGGAACGAATCGTGAAGCGGCCAGATTGCCTGGGTGACCGAGCTGTGTCAGGTGTGCTACTTGAGTGTCAATATAATAAAGGTACCAGATTAAGTGCCATATTTAGCCATATTATACTGTCGACTCGGGGACATGCCATGCAAACCATTACACAAAAATATCAATATGTGGAGTAGCAAAACTGGTGCGACAATAGAAACTATAGACACGTCATGGTCTGTTTTACATTCGTTGGGGTTTAAAAACTGTTTGGTTTCTATCATGCACATCTATCCGTGAGAACTCAGTGGATATTTGATTTTTTTAATAAATAAAAAAACTATTTTGAACTAACTACACTTGCTAAATTTAATTTGATTCATAATTATACTAATAATAAATCTTACCTTAAGGCGCAAGAGGTCGTGGCCCAGAGACACAAATTTTTATTTAATGATTTCTTTTTAATACAAAAAAATATTCGCTAACTTTCGAAAAAAATTTTAACCTTAATTTCAGCTATTTATTTGGGTTTTTAATTTAACCTACCTCGCGGGAGAGCCACAACTACAATTAGATGCATACAGAATAACTTCTTTTTTTTTTATCGCTGCATTGGGGCAACGTCCGACGCGGGTATAAAACTGTTCCTTTTGACATTTTATAAAATTTTAAAATATTTTTTATATACTCCGAAAAAAAAATAGTTACGATGTTTTGATTCGACAGTTTTGTTTTTATGTGTTTTGCCACTTTTAAAATAAAGGAAAAAAAATTATTTTCGTTAAAATCCGTTAAAACCTTTCAGACTGACAGTATAAGTTGTGATGTGAAGAGTAATGATAACTCAGTGGTTTCAAAATGAAGAGGCACTACGTTCTGTTTATCAATCAACCATATTTGATGGTCAAATTCAAACTTTTGTCACAAATAACCCACAATCATAGACACGATACATTTGACAGAAAAAATTATTAGCTGGCATTTCTATCTGCGAATTCCTCCTCAAAAACACATTTTTGTAAAAATTGATTACTGGGGATGAATAATTAGTTGTTTACTAGTTCAGAGAGGTGAATCCTGAAAAAAAAAACGCAGCGACTCACCGTTTACAGCATCCTAAAGTCGGATCATATCCCAAGAAGGTGTGAATTGGCAGGATTGGAAGGTGGTGTTTTATTATCTTTTTCCAATCAAATCAACAGAATAAACATTCTACTGTACACTGCCCACAATTGGAGCGATTGACCAATTGGCCAAAAATGATTTTGATAATCGCAAGGGGATTGGTTTTCACCAGGATAACCTTCGCTCCTTCGTCCCATGCAGACGCGACAGAAATTCAGATTTTTTTATTCTTGGAAAACTATTAATGTAAAAAAATTCATTCACTTGAGTACTGCAGTCAAAATTGTTCAAAAATCTGAGAAGTCTTGGGAGGACGGAATTAAAAAATTACATGAAAGATGTGAACAGGCAGTCGTACAAAGGTTGATTAAATCTGCTTATAAGTAACTTTTATTTTCATTGAATTTACCATAAAAAAACGCTTCTAATTGCGAGTTAACGTGTAGAAGTACACCTTAGTAAAAGAACGTCATCATTGTTATGATCCTGATCATATTTGGTACTTTTCCACACTAATTCAAGTAATAAATCGAAAAATGCTGATAATCGTGCGTTGTTAATGGACGCTTTTGTAATACGATAGGATCTAAATGTGTATTTTTTTCCAATTTTGGACGGTTTCCAAGCGATAAAAGAAAGCTGAGCTTTAAACAAACACAATCTCTAGCAGAGCACGTTTTTTCTCTGAAAATCTTGGATTTATATTCTACGATTTTTCTTTTTGTTTTATTTAACAGAACATTGATTGATTGACACTTTGATAATTAGATTTAAAAGGGAGGCAGATTAATTAATTCCAAAACCACATTTCTCAACAGTGAGCCCTTGTAATAAGAAAAATGTTTAAAATATAATTGTCGACCGATAAAAAAACCTTTTTTTCTACACGATTTAAATATTTGTTACAAAAATGATGCTAGATTGTAAAACAGAGGTAATCATTGTATGATTAAAGCTGGATTATGCAACAGTAAGTCTTGAAGAAGGTCTCCAAAGCTGCACTATTATGCATTATCTGCAGTTATTATTTCTTTTAAACAATGTAAATGTTGAGAATATTTATCGCTGATAGTTTTCAAGATCGCTCATCTCTATGAATCAAATTGTAGTTGTGACTATTGCAAAACCTAAACTGGGCAAGTGACCGTCAAGATCCTAAATCCCAAGTAAATATCAATTTTATTTTCAAAATAATAGGCAATTTGAGGTTGTGAATGTGTTTTTATTTTGCCTAGGCCTTTTATAAAAATTGATTGAAAAATTTTTTGTTTATAATTTGGACTAGAAAACCGGACCATTTCCTTGAGTTTATCTTAAATTCGCACATTTTATATAAACATACCATTTGAAACAAATTCCTCGGAAATATCCTGATGTTTCACAGGGTGGACCTGGTCATTTTTCACTAATCCTACGTTACTTTGAATGGCAATCGGCCAGGTCGTTTACGCGGAATGGCTGAGGGGTTACGAAGCACAGTAATCTTGGCCCTTTGGTTTGGAAATGTTCTGTGTGGTAAATATGGGATAAAAGAGATAGTGTAAACAAATGTAAGTTGAAATGCATGTTGGGGTTGACAGGAGGGAGATAATGTGCGAGCCTGGCCTGGAGGTCGACTCAGCTGACGTCATCTGAGCAGCTCAGCAGGATAGCAGCTTGTCGCCCTCATCCTCGCACGCCTTCCTTCGTCTTCCCTCATCCCTCGAGGAAAATGTCTAAGGGTGTTTTCAAATGTCCGGGGTTTCGCAATTTCAAAAGATGTCGACAGGGATGAGAGAATGACAAGTAGGCGAGACGTAGACGGGATCGGCAACGGGGATGCCTCGTAAGGCTATATAGGATCGAGTCAAAGCCTCAAAATCTTTAACATTACTTTATAATACACTTTTATTTACACAATTCTTTATATATCTACTTCGATAGGGGCGTAATTTAGATGGGAATGTTTAACGGGATAGATACATACTTGGGTGGGTCGGATCCTTAGCGAACATCGCCACGACAGCGGTGTAGTTGGCCGTCTTCTCATCCCCTTTCATCCAAGGGGAGACAAAATGTCGGAGTCCCAATCTGGCTACACCTCTCACTGAAACCCACCCCGACATATCACATTCCAAAATCACTCAACTTATGCTACCTGTACTCTGCGCCTCACATAGAAAAATATTATATATATATATTGTTTTAGGTTTCCATTTTCCTTGTTTGAAAAGTATAAATTTAATGATGGGTGTGAGCATAAACTACAGTGGTCTCTACCTCAGGTGTCCGTGCGTTCGTGAGTGCTGTGGGAATATTGTGAGTGCAGTTGGCGGGTCTGAAACATAAAGGAGATTACAGAGTGATCGTGTGTGATGTTGAGCAGCATGCGTTGCAGGAAACAGGCGAAAGAAAGAGCCTCGGGCCTCTACACGCACTTGTTTCAATCCACAATTGGCTCCTAAACCCTCCCCTCCGTTCAGCCAAAGGCCCGATGCCTCTTTTTTCATCTTTCACGCCTGTTTGTAGCTCTAAATGTATAAAGAAAGAAAATAAAAGAAACATTAACCCAGTGCAGAGAGTGAAAAAAAGAGAGAAAGTTGTAAATTGAAGCGTTAGCATATGAGAGTGGGTCGTGCGATACAAAAGAAGGTAGCTCATGATTCTGTATATGTTGAAGTTAGAGAGTAGAGTCTGATGAGGAAGTGAAACAAATGCGTGTAAACTGTGCAAGGGTTTATGTGACGATGTGTCATGTCTGTGTCCGCTGTCTACGACTTACCCAAGCAGGGGTTGTGATTTACCAAACCGAATATCCTCTCACACCTCTTTTTCATGTGATTGTTTGGGCAGATACACCCGAACATGGGTGTGAGACGGATCCTCGACCAAGACTCCAAGCAATTGTCCCTGAAACAAATATTTACAATTTGAAGTTAAATAAGTTACATAACATCACGTTACAAATATTAGTTAAGCATGTTTTGGAGAACGTTTTCACAAGGATCTGCGCCATTTTTACATAAAATAACCAAGCTGAGGTGTTGACAATCCTGCTTAATTCACTTTTGATTATGTTTGTTTTGGAAACAAATACGGGTTTGAATACTGGCTAAGCCTTTGAAATTTTTTATAAGTAATTATTCAGAAATCGTGAGATGCGGTCTGGAGTGATGTAGGTTTCAGAAAAACATTTTCTTTATCGTGCCAACGTTTCGACCTTTGTTGAGCCCTGAAGATGATATCAATAAAGATCGAAACGTTGGCACGATAAAGAAAATGTTTTTCTGAAACCAACATCAAACCAGACCGCATCTCACGATTTCTAAATAAATATCGATTAACGGTTACTAATCACCACACATTTTTATAAGTAGTTGAACAAAACTATTGTAATGGCGTCTGACCCCCTGGTTCATGAAACCCCCTTTCTTAAATTATAAACAACAGTTTGGGTCAGACGCCATTACAATAGTTTTGTCCAACTACTTACAAATAAAGTTTCAAAGGCTTAGCCAGTATTCGAACCAAGAACCGTTAGCATTAGTCGAAAACATTATTTATTTAACCACAGACAATTCCCTTTACGATGTTTCGATATCAGACATTCATTTATTTTATCTTAATAAGCTCTGTTTAAGATGCTTCTTTTAATTGAGAACTATCGGCAGGAAACACAGTGAAATGAACTGTATGAAGTACTTTATTTAGAAATCGTGAGATGCGGTGTGGTGTGATGTAGGTTTGAGAAAAACATTTTCTTCATCGTGCCAACGTTTCGATCTTTATTGAGATCATCTTCAGGGGCCTGGGATTTACAAACATTTTTTACATATTAAAATTACATTTTGGATGTGGAAAAGTGAATTTATACAGTGCAAAATATATTTTTTATATTCATTCAGCAGAGTAGAAATACCTTGAATGAATATAAAAAATATATTTTGCATTGTATAAATTCACTTTTCCACATCCAAAATGTAATTGTAATATGTAAACAATGTTTGTAAATCCCAGGCCCTGAAGATGATCTCAATAAAGATCGAAACGTTGGCACGATAAAGAAAATGTTTTTCTGAAACCTACATCACACCAGACCGCATCTCACGATTTCTAAATAAATATCGATTAACGGTTACTAATCACCACACATTTTTATAAGTAGTTGAACAAAACTATTGTAATGGCGTCTGACCCCCTGGTTCATGAAACCCCCTTTCTTAAATTATAAACAACAGTTTGGGTCAGACGCCATTACAATAGTTTTGTCCAACTACTTACAAATAAAATTTCAAAGGCTTAGCCAGTATTCGAACCAAGAACCGTTAGCATTAGTCGAAAACATTATTTATTTAACCACAGACAATTCCCTTTACGATGTTTCGATATCAGACTTTCATTTATTTTATCTTAATAAGCTCTGTTTAAGATGCTTCCTTTAATTGAGAACTATCGGCAGGAAACACAGTGAAATGAACTGTATGAAGTACTTTATTTAGAAATCGTGAGATGCGGTGTGGTGTGATGTAGGTTTGAGAAAAACATTTTCTTTATCGTGCCAACGTTTCGATCTTTATTGAGATCATCTTCAGGGCCTTGGGTTTACAAACATTGTTTACATATTAAAATTACATTTTGAAAATATATTTTGCATTGTATAAATTCACTTTTCCACATCCAAAATGTAATTGTAATATGTAAACAATGTTTGTAAATCCCAGGCCCTGAAGATGATCTCAATAAAGATAGAAACGTTGGCACGATAAAGAAAATGTATGAAGTACATGTAAATTTAATTTTTAAAAATTATATACAATAAAGGGCCAAGGATTGAACCCTGCGGTACTGCTATCGTTATATTGCACATAGATGAAAATTGCTCATTACATTTTACAACCTGGTTTCTACTTTCAAGATGACTCCATCAAGTTGATTGTACCTTTACTAAAATTGTAAAATAATAGTTTTTAAGAGCAATTCGTAGGAAAGCTTGGCTGACATCTAAGAAAGTTACAATGCAATTACCTTCATTGAAAGCTTCAAGTGAGAAGTTGACAAAACTCAATATTGCCTGAGTGGTTTTTTCCCTTCTCTATAATTATGCTGGAAAAATAACTTGGAACAATATTAAGTCACGTTCAACGTTTGCATTATTTGTAATAAAACTAAACAATTAGAAAAAAGAAAAATCCTTTGGTGTCATAGGCTGGCAGTAAATTCTTTTAAGCTCTGAGATTTATTGCCCATTTTTAAGTCGGGCGTAACAAGTTTTCAGGAAAAGTTAACATTCCTGTTTTCCTAACTTTGCGCTTAAAAAGATTTTAATGTAAATTAAATAAAGATGAAATTGGTTTATTGAAGGTAAAATGTATACACAGTCAATATTGAGAGTAAAAATAAACATTTTTCAGAACCCCTTCCTTATTCTTATTCAGAACACTTTATTAGAAAGGAAATATAGGTTAACAATTTTCTTTGATCTTGAAAAGCTAAAGATATGACCTGGTGATTTGAAATCTTTAAAAAGCTTTATGAATAGGGTATAATAGGTTCTATTTGTAAATGTTAAAAGAACTCCCTTGAAATATCAAAACGCGAGTCAAGAAAGTCTTATTATCGAACCTTGTTTTTCTAAAAGATTTAATGTCATTAAACAAAACTTGACGACGTGTTAATATTGCAGTAGATCATATTGCGGTTGACCTGAGACCTTCTATATATTGTTGACTTTGTTTTAAAAAACGTGGGGAAACCCTACGAAACGCTATCGCCGCCTAATACTAGGCTTACTTGAGTTAAAATTAATTGCTTAGAGTTAAAAAAAATACGTTTAATATTTTAGTATTTTTTCCGGTGAGTCCGCCTAATATTTGGGGTGGATTGGTCAATGTGGATCATTTTGGCATGCCCATTTTCGCTGATTTCGTCTATCGGACGTGTTTAGGCTTCACATCAACTGCAGTGGTGTGTAAGTTGTGAATTGTGAAAGGATTCTGTTGGTGTTATGATAAAAATATCGGAAACGATCAAGCTTCAGGTCCTGTAGAGTTCGATTTCTGCGCAGATGGGAAGGTTCTGTTGCACCCCGCTAAGCTCTATGCCGCATGTCCATATTGGTTTCAGCATTGATTTGTTGAGAAAGATTTTAGATATGTTTTCTGTAGTCTTTGAAGTAATCGGTATCGCCGGTTCAGTTCGATCCTTTTATTGTGGGACAATCGAATAGGTCGGTCGCTTGTCTAGATACAGCCCAAAACGATGACGTTCTCGATAGGAAGGGGGTAAGGTTATAATAGATTGTAGGTAGAAAAATGTAATGGAGGATGAAACTTATGATTTGTCTTGTTCTATGTATGATCATATTGGTTTTAGTATTTTGTTGTTGAGACGAGTTTAGATCTGTTGTCTAGTCTTTTAATTGGTCTCCTCATTTCAGTTTGGCCTTTTTAAGTCGTGTATGAGGATTCTAGGTCAGTCGTTTCTCTAGATACAGCCCAAGATGACGTCCCCGGTAAAAAAGAGATTGGGTTATAATAAATTGGAGGTAGAATGAGGGTTATGTTCTGGGATTTTATGTTATTGAGTTTAATTTGCCATTTTTTGAACCATTGTTCAAGGGAATATAGGTCTGGGAATATGCAGGGTTCAGTGAGCTATAACGAGCTCGGAGTATGAAGATAGAATTAGCAGTATAGTACGGGCCGAGTACGCTACCTGAGGGACTCCCTGTGTCCGCCCTGTACAAATGACAGTAAGAAGACCCATACTATTGAGGTACTCGGTCAGGCAGGACTTAAGGATTATGTGTGTGAGGGTAAGATGCCTTTAATGTTTGAGAAGTGCTAGACTAGATTAAAAGCCTATTCGGTACGGTTGATCCCGAGCCGCATACTGTCTTTTCCAGGGAACGATGAGATCCAAAACACGATGGCACTGTTAGCGGATGATGCCTAAAACCAAACAGATGGGCCTGGAATGTATTAGACGATTCGACGATGGAGGGTATTTTCTTACAGATTATTTTACAAAGAATTGGCAGAAAGCTGATGGTATGGTAGGAATTCGGAAGGTTTGGTTGGTCGACTATGTTAAACTTCCATGGAATCGAAGAATTGAGTGGTACAAATAGCTGCATTATAAAGGAGTTAATAAAACAGTTTTTGTTGGAAGGTTACAAGGAATTGAAGTAGATATGACGTCACATCCAGGAGCATTTTGGAGGTGTAGATTTTAGTTGTGTATTTTACGTCAAAAGGTTAACGAGGGTCACATGTAGAGGTATGTGGAAATCTTTAGAGTTTCTTGATATTAAGAGCCGGTCATCGGATGCGTTGCCTTGTCCGTGACATGGTGAAAAAAAAAACTGTAAGACAATCTTCAGTACATACTGAGTACATTAACGGACCAAGGAAGATATCTTGAGGTTCGCTCGCCATATGCCTACTCTCAAGTACCTGTTTGACCGGTTATTAGGTGCCGTTTAGTTTCCAGAACAAAGCCAAGTGTGAGGTTCGATCGACTTTGTAAAAATTAAGATGCAGGAAAACTTCCTAAAATGTTGTCATTAAGTTTTGCGACTAAGGTTTTCTTAGTCACCGAATAAATGACCTGGGTGAAATTTAAAAATTTTACGTCCATGCTAAGTACAACCTTGTTTTTGATAACAAATTTATCTTATTAAATGATAAAAAGTGAGGACATTTGAATGTGCCAAATTGAATTCGAAAACCAATTAGTGTGGTACAGATAGAGATTTGTGAAGTGGTCTACAACTCTGTCTATATCTTCGGTTGTACTTAAAGCCAGGAACACACTTACCCGATGCTACGGCATGCGACGCTACCCGACGCCTTGCCACGTTTTGGTGGGGTGTGCACATCTATTCGTCGCAAGCTCACGTCGCGTACAGT